AAAAAAAAAAAAAAAAAAAAAAAAAAAAAAAAAAAAAAAAAAAAGGAAACGAAAAACAAACAAAAATAGCTGTTTTCCAAGCACACATTGTAGGACTTTTCCCTACGTCCTTTTATCAGTGACAAAACTTTGTTCCCCTTTTGGATGAAACGCTTCACCTTCGGAGAACTGCTGGAACCAGCGTTGCTGACGTGTAGATACTCCTTTGAAAGACGACAGCCCCAAAGTCAGGTGTTGTCTGTTGGAGTCTGCTGGTCCCGCCCCTTTTGTTCTGTTTTGTGCGGGCCCCACGGAGCCGGGTTCGCTCTGCTCTCTGTTTCCATGTCTTGTCGGTATCTAACCACAGAACGCTGTCTTGACACCTCAGTTAGGTCCTGTACTCCTGCTTGTTGAGTTTAGTGTTTCATCATGGGGAAACCTTTCTTTAAGTCTTTTCAGTCCATACTTAGGTTTGACCTGATGGAAAAACACGACTGAAGATTTTTTATTGTAATTATTTTGTTTGTTTGTTTTATTTATATTTTTTTGAAGTATGAAAGCTACGATATACAGCTGCAGAGCCCACATCTGTTTGGATATGGTCTGGTTTCCTAGGTTCTTGCGAAAGCGTGAGTTCTTTTGTTTTTAATTGCTGTTTGCTTCATTACACTTGGTCTGTGTAGATGACAACAGCCCCACAAAATCTTGTATGGATCCTTTGATCGCAGACACAAGTGTCCAGGAAACCTTATCATGCTTTTTTTATTATTTTTTTTTTTAGCACAGCTAAAGGGAAAAAAAATAACTGGCAGCCCAGTGTAAGTGAGGAGCGTAGATTTGTTTGTATTTTTTATTACTTATTTATTGTTTGTTGTTTTCACTGGAAATTTTTCTTTCCCTTAATTAACCATATGTTTTAGACGAGCACAATTCTTGGAAGGGACAAAGGAGCCAAAAAGTTTAGTAGCCTTTATAACTATTTAAATTATGCTTTGTGAGAGAATCACAGGTGGGGGGAAAAAAATAGCCATCGGCTTGTGTGTTCGGTGGTAACGGTCAAATGGCGCCTAGAGCATGGAACACTGAGACTAGCGTACTCGGCGACGCAATCAGCAACGCTCCGCCATCCAATCATAACTCAGAGCGGAAAGGAAGTCACCAATTACAACGAGCGCCGTCGGCAATGCTCCCAGCGGTGAGAGGTACCGTGCGCTTAATGTCTCCAGATCCTCCTGCTCCTACATATTTCACTGCTGCATGCGACTAGCTATTACGAGTTCACCTAGAGGCTTAATCTGCGCAGAGAATCCGCTGCTAAAAGTTACGTTGCGCAATAAATTGGTCTGAATATATAACAATATCTATGGTAATTGCTAAACACTAAAACTTGGTAAGGTGTTGCTTTAAAAAAAAAAAGCCATATGTGGACACCATTTAAGTTCTTCCGTCTCTAAAATGGAGATGTTCATGAACAGCTCAACAGCACATAGCGTCCTGTGAGTCGATTTCCTCTTCAGTCCCCACAATGCCACTGTCCCGTTGAAATATAGAAATTAAGTGGATGTCATGCTCTCTATTCAAGTAGGGGATGCTACATCTGCAGGAGTTGGTCGGTCAGTCACTCTGTATTTTCACCTCCCCCCTCTGCCACCCACTTTGTCATTGGCCATAAACATCAACTCTTGTCTCCGCCGACGGCTGTAGTACCACAAAAGCGTCACTAGATGTCAGCATAGTATAAAAAAATTAATTCTTCCAAGAGCTTCCACGGTTACTTTTTTAACCACTAGAACTGGTGAGCTGGTTTAATATTCTGTGAGGGAGATTGTCGTATGAAGTTGTTTGTTTACTTCAATGTATTTATTTACCTGTCTGTGGAGATTTACTTTAGGTATGATAGGTGTGAACGGACATTGTAGGGGACACGGGCGTTTAAAACTTTGATCAATTTTGTCCCCTTCACCTGACCATCGTCATCCCAGCCTCATCCACTATCTTCACATTCTCCCCCTTTTCTTTCTCCTCTCTCCATCCTTCTGTTTTTTTTTATATATGTCCACTGAAGAAGTGCAAAATAACTGGTTTAACGTTTGCCAAATGTTTTTTTCAATATTTGCAGATTTGTGCTACTGTTTCCAACCTTTCTTCAACAAAAAGGGCTTTCCAACTCCTTCCGAATTAGAAGAGCATGGTGGTTTAAAAAAACAAAAAAAATCTAAAAAAAAAAAAAAAAAAAACTCCCCCCCTCTTTTGGGGGGGGGGGGGGGGGGGGGGGGGGGGGGGGGGGGGGTGCAGCTCGC